GGGGAGGAGGTAGAAAGAAGACTTCAGTTATGGCCTTCTTCTGTTCATAGGGAAAAGCTATCAGCAGTTGTACTGTGAAATTGATGTGGTCAACAATTTCTTTGCTGATTAAAGAATTATGAATAATGATAGTGAAACTAAACAGTCTGGGGTAACTTTTCTTGTTGCTTGTCAAAGTTAGGAGCAGAATTGGAGGCATTGGAAATATTATTATTACCAGGTCTGCCAAGTATACTGTATCAACCTTTTAAATGTTTTCTTGCAATCAGAAGTACCAGGAAGGTAAACTTTTTTTAAATTTTAAAACTTGATCGTGCAGTTATTGATGCCCCTATGTTGTTCATGGAAACTTTTCATTTACCATTGGATTGCCTCTCTTTGTGTCCCAAGACATGAAGATGTTTTTCAGTATATGACTTTGGATTTTGTCAGTGGGTAACTACAGAGATTGGTCCCATATACTAAGATACAGCTTATCTGAAAGGCTGGCATAAATATCTAACACTTGTAGGTAAACCTATGGTCTTATTCTTCTTGTATATGTATTGGTTTGTAATATAAAATATTTAGTTGCAGAGTGATCCCAGGTTCCAACAGCTTTGGTTGTTTCACTGTACCAGTTTCATTAATTTGATGCTCACCATATGTTTTGCTTGGTTTCTAATTCTTTTCCCCTCCCCCCCTCCGTTTACAGGTATTTAATTAGTCAAGGAGCACATGTAGGAGCTGTTAATAGTGAAGGAGACACTCCATTAGATATTGCCGAGGAAGAGGCAATGGAAGAGCTGCTTCAAAATGAAGTAAATAGACAAGGTAATGTGTAAGTCTGGTATTGCCTTTTAAACTTAAGTATATTTTACAGAAATACATTTTTTTTAAATATTTGAAAGTCCTGTTTAGTGCTCCTCCCCCAAACACTCATGGAGGATTACTTCCTTTTGTTCTTGAAAGGAGTACTTTTTCTCCTAGTTTACAATTCTCCACAACACTGAATTCGTCTGTTATCCAAACCAGGTAGTGTCATTTACTAGTCAGTAGGATGACATGACACTAAAGGGTAGATGTCATCTGGGTATTAGTATGTAGTTATAGTTCTAGAATCTTGGATTAACATTTGGTGACTACAAAAAGATTGACTATAGGATTTGTACTCTGATTAGCATGAAAAAAATACACCAAGTAAATTAGTACTTTGCTATCATATTGTACAAAACTACTTCTCTCTTAGTTTGGTAGAACACAATTTTTTTTTAAAAGTATTGCAGGATATCTGAAGTGTATTGTCTTCAGTTTGTGCCTTATCATAGCTTTGTACGTGAAGCTGATTTTTGATACATTTGACTTCCCTAAAATGACATCCTACTTTTCCTTAATACTACACTGAAATATAAGAAATCTCACTCAATTTGGAAAATACCAACAATAAAATAAAATGGTTTTGTATTCTACCTTTTGGGGAGGAAGAGGGGGGAGAGAGAGAGAGAGAGAGATCGCTTCACCTTAGATGCACCAACACCACTGTGCCCACCAGTCAGAAGTGGCAGTGTCCCCCACCCCCGGCTGGCCCCACAAGCTAGGCTCTGGCACGAGACACCTAGTGTGTGTAATGTGCATACGTGGCCAGCCGGCTCCTCCGTTCTTCTCTGACCGCCACTGGCTTCGGTCGCAGATCAGCAGTCACCCTCACAGTCAACCGTTTCCATCCTTTCAGCTAATCAGCTAGCTTTTAACTTCAAACCAACTGAATGGATGCTATTCACTTAAAAAACAAAAACAAAAAAAACCCGAAAAACCCACCAAGGATCTCCATCAGGAGGTATTCCCGCTGTCTCCCGCGTCTCCACTTTGAGAGTGGTTGTCGTTGTTCTAGATGTTACTCAGGTCATGCCCTGCTCCTCTGGTTTTAAAAAGTGTCCGGGCTGTGGTCTGTCTATCGCTGTAGCGGACAGGTACTCTTGACTACTCTCTAGGACAAGACCACAATACAGAGCGCTATCAGGACTGCAAGAAACTGACTAAGCGCACAACGAGAGCCAGGCAGCTACAACTCCATGTGTTTCAAATAGAGACAGCAATGAAATATCCTTCAGATGCTCCCCTAAACTCTCCCCTCAGGCATAACCCACCAGGGGCAGAGGCGAGTGAGAGGGTTATTCCAGCTAAAAGCCCAATCACCAAACTGAAATCTCCCTCCGTGAGGAAGAGGTCTCATACTTCCTGGTCTACATCCCCAGCGAGGAAAGCAACAAATTCAAGACTTGACACTGCCCCCCCATACCATCAAGGGGGGCAGTTCAGAATGCAGGTTCTGGCTCCCATAAAAACCACAACCACAAACCGGGTCCTTGTCCTTCCTCACACAGCTGCACAGCGAGGCCGATGCATAAAGCCGCCACTCTGGCACCGGCTGAAATGCTGGCAGGAAAAAAAAGCAGGTGCCAACAACCCCACGATCTGCAGCAGTGCTGACCAAGCACTCAAAAGTGCCCAGCATTTCTCCTGGTGCCTTATGCACTACAGGCATCTTCTCTCTCCCCCCCCCCCCCAATGCGGATATAGAGAATTCCGCAGTTCACCACAGTGGTGGAATTCTCTATATCCTCGGTGCCAGGAACACTGCTTTCCAGCACTGATGGTACCCCCAGCTAGTACTAATTCTTCATTTTCCGCTACTCCTGGGGCTTTTATTACTGTGCTGCCGTGACTGAGCAGGAAGACTTACCTCAACCTAAGAATTCCTTCCCGAAACCGGTACACCCCCAACAATGGCAGCATCACTAGGGCCCACCATTCATGCCACTAAGTTGGTCATATTGGGACCCATGGGCTACATTCAGACAACAGCCTGGTCCCCAAGCGGGGCATTATTACCATATATCTGCCAAACCTAAACCTCCTAGCTTACACTTGCTGAACAAGTCTGAATTCTCTGAATGCGAAGATGACACGGAGACTGCAGGGGTGGAACAGCCCTTACCTGTACACACTTCTCCATCCTCGTCGGCAGAGGCATTTATGTCCCCATTAACGAGCGTGGGGGATGATTATAAGTCTTTTCAGGACCTTTTTAAGAGGGTAATTAACAAACTGGAAATATCCCTCTCCAGTCCTCTGGATACACAGCATAAGTTAACTAGCATCCTTCATGCCTCAGTGAAAACCAGACTCTCAATATCCATGAATGAGGCATTGATGGACCCAGCTAACCTTCTATGGAAAACACTGGTGACAATCCTACTGCAATTGAAGAGACTTGATCGAAAATATTATGTTGCCCACAAGGCTCCTTTGCCAGCCTCCAGCTGCGCATCGCCAACTACATAGCGCTTCTTTCCAAATATGCACATCATATCTTTAATCAATTGTCGACTTCTTTTAAAATTCTACCAGACAACAAAAGAGAACAATACAAAGCTCTGATGGAGGGCTGCCTAATATCTAGAATTGCGATTCAGTTTGCCCTTGATTCCGCAGATACAGCATCCAGATCTCTGGTGTCTGCAGTGGTCTTGAGATATGCATCCTGGCTCCAACTCTCAACTTTTCCTGAAGAAGTCCAGACCACAGTTGAAGACTTTCTATTTGAGACATCCTGACTCTTCGCAGACACTACAAATACCACTCTTCAGTCTCTGAAAGACTCCTATGTCACTCTCTAAATGCTTGACATCCAACCTCCTGCCAATAGGAAGCAGAACAGACAATTTAACTACAGATACAAACCAACGCCTTTCAACCACACTAGGCAATATAACAAACAACATTGAAGACAGCCCAGATGTAGATAATCATCGGAACAACCCATCACTGAGCAGGCTCCAGCACATCGATCATTTTGAAGCCTTGGTCGAGGGTTGGACAGCCCCCATATATCAACGGCAACAATCCAAGCCTTACACCATATTTGGCTCCAGACTAGCAGCATTCTGTCCTGCCTGGCAATCAATTATGACCGACAAATGTCTTCTCAAGATCATCAACATGGGCTATGTAATTCCCTTTACCTCCAACCCCTACCCACAACCACCATCCCCGTCCTTCTTCAGGGCCCCGTCACAATATGGTGTTCATGCAAGAGGCACATCGTCTCCTGAAATTGGGGCCATAGAAGAGGTACCCTTCAAGCACGGAGGGAAAAGGGTTTTACCCTCACTATTTCCTCACAATAAAGAAAACAGGGGTTGGAGACCTATACTAGATCTCAGTAGACTCAATCAGTATGTCCAATGCCAATGATTCAAAATGATAACCCTCACCACAGTCATACCGTCCCCCGAGAAAGGAGATTGGCTGTCCACCCTTGACCTTCAGGATGCTTACTTCCACATTGCAATACACCCCTCACACAGACGCTTCCTCAGGTTCACAGTGGCAAACCAACATTTCCAATACAGAGTACTGCCCTTTGGCTTATTGACTGCCCCAAGGGTATTCTCAAAGGTGTTAGCAGTGGTTGCTGCCCACCTCAGAACAAGGGAAATCACCATTTTTCTCTACGTCAACGACAGTAGCCTCACCATACTCAGCAGGCACTGACCTTTACCCAGGGCTCTTTCGACAGATTGGGGCTATGCATAAACCCAGCAAAGTGTGTCTTGCACCTGACACACACTAGATTTCATTGAGGTTTTGCTCCCACAGCCCAGATTCACAGCAATTCAGGACCTGGTCCATCTGGCACAATTCAGCCCCTGTATAACCACCAGACAGTGCCTGTGCTGCCTCGGTCACATGGCAGCCACCACCTTTGTCGTGCCTTATGCATGCCTGCATATGAGGCCGATGCAGACTTGGCTCAGGTCAGTGTACAGGCCACATGTACACTCACTGAACAAATCTCTCAATATGCCATGCAGCATAAAAGCATCTCTTACTTGGTGGACACAGCCCAACAATGTATGCACAGGAATTCTGTTTCAATGGAAACCGTTTCAACGGACCCCCTCCCCCCCAATGATCACAATAACCACAGATGCCTCACTAACAGGCTGGGGGGCTCACCTACAGGATCAGGTAGTCCAAGTCAGGTGGACATGGGATGAAGAACGCAGATACATCAACTTGCTAGAGCATAGAGCAGTCCGTATAAATGCATGCACTTCTCCCACATAATACTCAACAATACCATGTGTATGCTGACTAGCAATACGACAACAGTGCACTACATCAACAATCAGGGTGGCATCCGCTCTTGCCAACTCTGTCGGGAAGCAGTACAGTTATGGAAATGGTGCATTCCTCACCACATTCATCTCATAGCCACAGTCATCTCAGGCAAAGACAATATGTTAGCCCTCAACCACAAGTGGGAGATCAACAGATGGGCCATCAATCAGCTGTTTCGCAAATGCGAATTCCCTATGGTGGACCTTTTTGCAACACACAAACTCACTGTGCCCTCATTATTGCTCCAGAGCAGGACTGGACCCTGACTCCCTGAGGGATGCATTCAGCATCACATGGGACGCACCTCTAGCATTTGCATTTCCACTGATCCCACTTATTTACAGAGTGATGCTAAAGATAACATAGGACCGAGCCAAAGTGATACTGCTGGCACCAAAGTAGCCAAGACAGAGTTGGTATCCAGCTCTATTACACATGGCTAGGCGTCCACTACATTGCTTCCCCCCATCCCGTCACTGCTCATGCAAGAGAACGGGAGGATCCATCACCCTGCCATCCAGTGCCTTCACCTGCATGTGTGACTCCTTGATGGTTAACCATGACAGAGATCCACTGTCCTATAGAAGTTCAAACCATTCTCATGAACAGCCGCAGACCTGCAACAAGAAAAACCTATATTCAAAAAT